CTGATCTTCTCATAAGAAGAATGATCACATTGGATAGGATCCACACACATCACCTCATTAACCCTAATTTCCTGTATATAGGCCCCATTTCTTAATATGGATAATGACATTTTAAGGAGCTGAGAGTTAGGATTTCATGTGAATTTTGGATGGACAGCCTAAATGAATTCAGCTGAAATGAATTAAAAATTCAGCCAAAATGAATTAAAAATTTATGTGTAAAATTATTGAGCTTGATTTGAAGCTGATTGAATTACTATACTTACAATAAAATGTATTTGTTTTTGTTACACCAATATATTCTTGACAATCAGATTGATTCTCTAGTTTTTGATAATACTAAACAGTAATAATAGTACCTTTTCAAAATCACATCTTTTAAAACTTTTCCACATTTTAAAATTGTATTTTTGTTTTGTTTTAATTTTCTTTCTTTTTTCTTTTCTTTTCTTTTTTTGATAATGGAGATTAAACTCAGGACCTTGAGCTTGCGAGGCAGGTGCGGTGCCACTAAGCTAAATCCCTGGCCCTTGTTTTAATTTCTATTTTGCATTTCTTAGTGTGGCAGCTTATCTTTCATTGCAAATATTGCATACCATCTTTTTGATACATAGACATTAACTTTATTTTTCTCAGGTGTGTCTGCCACAGTATAGAACAGAGCTTCCAATAGACAGTTGACTTTATAGTTTAGTATTTGTTATTGTCATTTAGAAAAAGAAGCACTTAGATTTGAGAATATCACTGTTGAAACCTTTGTCCTCTATTCGTGGATCACATATGTTTTTGAAGTTTAGTAATGTTTACTTCTATTTGTTAAAGTTAAGAATGATTTATTTAAAAGCCCTAGCATCCTTTTAATTCCAAGAAATAAAGTATTCAGTATCCATTTGGCAATATCATTAGCCTTTCCTTAATGAATATTTACTTCTTTGAACATAAATTATGGTAGCACTGAAATCAATTCGTTAACCAAGATATTGTGGGATCATTTAGTATTTAGGTTATTTTTCTTGATGTCCTTTTTGTACTTTCATTATTTCATGCCTAATCTATAAATGCTGTTCTGACTTTCCTTGATACACCCATCATCTATCAAATCGGGACTTTATTCCTCCCTCAGGAATTCCTAGCTCTGCATATCCCCATCTCCTCAAAGATGTCTCAATACTGTGTACTCTTTCAGTTTATTTTGCTATTTGCTCTCTTAAAGAAAAAATAATTTCAGCAATGATATATTATGGAATATATCATAGAAGGAATGGAAATAAACATTTTTATATCAATTCATAAATATTCCTATTGTTCCTATTTCTTTAATTGTATAGCAAATTATTGGGTTTGCAACTGGATCCCCATTTCCAAAATGTTCAAAATTAATTTTTTACAGTCAGTGCGGTATACATAATTTTTTTGAGAAATAGTTAATTGAATATATCATAAAAATGTTACCTTGATCTGAAATGTAAATTTTAGGGAAAAGAATTAAATTTTCATTTACAGAATTGTATGTATTTAAAAATATATATTATTTTTGAGCATTTCAGTAAGTAAATTCGTATTTTATGATCTTTAAAAGTTTTGATTAAAATAAACTTTTTGTAGTCCTAGTAAATAGAATTAGGCCCAGGGATTTAGCTTAGTGGTTCCGCCGCCTGCCTCACAAGTGCAAGGTCCTGAGTTTGATCCCCGGTACCAAGAATAAGTAAAAAAATAAAAAATAAATCAATAGAATTATTTTCCTATATTTAAATATCCTTTATCCTTGCTCATATGTACTTTCATTGAGCTATGTAATGTGTATTTCATAAAGTATAACAGACATGTACAGTATGTTTTTAAAAAGTGATAGATAATTGGAAAGATTAAGAATTTGTAGAATAGGCATTTCCACCACGAGGCAAGGACGCGGGTGCCAAACCCAAGGCCGACGGCCAGAGACCTGAGGGTCCCTGCGCAAAAAGAATGAAGTACTGAAAAGCGTGGCCCTGGTCACAGGAGCCATTCAGAGAGGACAAGTGCTTTGGCAAAGGAGAGGGCTGGTACAGACATCAGAGCAAAGAATGACTGCCTTTGTATTTGTCCCACAAATGGAGAATTGTAGACTTCAAAAGAAAATATCAAAGAAGCATTCCTGGGCACCACACATGGCATGGTCTCTAAGAGCAGCAGAAGCAAGAGAGCCACAAGCAGTGGAAAACAGCCAAGTGATAACTCATTCTTTAGTGGCAGCCACAGAGATCCATGGACAGGACCTGCCAGTGATCAGGAGCGTGAATAGGTTGTCGCAGTGCCAGCTGCTATCTCCATTTTTCTCCTGGATACCTTTCATTTATGGAGCATGATGGTGCTCCCAGGTCATAAGTTTCAATCAAAGTCTGGAAACTAAAACAGGACTCCTGGGAGCAAGAATTACCCCAAGTCAGTACAATGGCATATGAAAAACCAGATTTGCAAGCTTTGGGGGAGGTTGAAAGTGAATCATCAGGTGACTCATGCACTGATGATGATGACATTGATATTGACCATTTGAGCCAAAGATCCTGTGACAGTGAAATAGAACAAGAATTGACTGATACAAACACAGGGAATGAAAACCTCTTTGACTCACATGATGAAGAAAACATCAACGTGATTACATATTTGACCAGTCAGTATTCAACAAAATGGTCATCTGTGTGTGAAAGATCCAGTATTAGAACTAGGTCTGAAAATACTGGGTTCTTGGCAAGGGTGAAACTGATTGGTTGGAATGCCAGCACTGCGATTCAATGTTGGAAGTTGATTGTAACAGATGATATGCTACAAGATGTTGTGAAACACACAAATACTGAAATACAACTAAAACGTTCTGTATGCACCTTAGTCATACTTAAAAAAGTGTTTATTATGGCGCCTCAATATCTGAACTGAAAGCATTCATTGGTCTGCTATACTTAGCAGGGCTTTCTCATACTAATCATAGGAATGTAAAAGACTTATGGAGAAGTGATGGGTGTGGGCTTGAGATTTGTGAAATAACAATGAAACTGAGGAGATTTGGTTTCTTTCAGAATTTCCTGAGGTTCATGACAAAACCACCCACCAAGAAAGAAAAAGCCGATAATCTGGCTGCTATCCTCTCATTTTTTCAGAGCTTTGTCTCAAACTGCCTAGCAGTTTACACACCCTCTGAATACGTGACTATTGATGAACAGCTTGAAGCATTTCATGGTTGCTGTAGCTTTAGGCAGTTTGCCAAATAAGCCTTCAACATACAGTATAAAAATATATGCCCTGGTAGATGCAAAGACATATTATAATTTTAATTTAGAAATCTATCCTGGATCTCAGCCACCAGGTCCTTATTCGTGCAGTAATAATCTGAATGATGTTTTAAATAGACTTGTTGCTCCTATCTCCCAAACTCATCAGAATGTGACATTCGACAGTTGGTTTACCAGTTGCCCATTGATGTTACCTTTACTAAGAGAACATCAATTGACCAGCATAGGAACTATACACAAGAACAAAGCAGAAATTCCCAGTGAAATGTTTTAAGTTCAAAATAGAGAATTGTATAGTACAATCTTTGGGTTTCAGGGAGATATAACATTGGCTTCCTATATGGCAAATAAAAACAAAGTGGTACTGCTGATGTCAACATTGCACCATGATGGCAATATTGATAGAGATACCTCGACACAATTGAAGCCAGAGATGGAAACTTTTTACAACAAGACCAAAAGTGCAGTAGATGTTATTGATGAATTATGTAGCAACTATGATGTCACTTGAAACACAAAGCGGTGGCCAATGTTTTACTTGATCCTAAACATATCTGGTATAAATAGTTTCATTGTTTATAAAGAGAATAACAAGTGTAAAATATCATGAAGAAATTTTCTTAGGGGATTGGGACTGGAACTGATAAGGGAACAACTACAACAGAAGAAGGATAAAATGTTTCTGCCCAAGGAACTACACCAAAAAATTTTGGAGCTGACAGGTGAACAGGTAGGTGCAACATCACAAAGACCTACTAGGACAATAGAAAAACCAAAAAGATGTCATCTGTACCCTAAAAAAAAAAGACAGGAAAACAAAACACACATGCTATCAGTGTAAGGCATACTTGTGTATGGAGCATACAGTTTTCATGTGTGAAGACTGCCTTGGATATGACAATTGAAGCAAAGATTATTTATGTGGTAGACTTTTAAAAAAAAATTTCCCAGTACCAGAGCTAGATCTCAGGACCTTGCACTTGACAGGCAGGCATGGCACCACTGAGCTACATCCTCAGCCCCATGTGGTAGACTTTTCTTTATATTTTTATTGTAGCTTACATAGGAATTTGTTTCTGTTATTAGGTTTTGTAATCAAGTGAACAGTTGATGTGAAAATATTGATGTGTATTGTAAACACTCATTACATATTTGATATTTTATTGATTTTTTATTTTTCTGCTAAGTGCATATTGTATAATATAGTAAGCTCCTGACAAAAGAGGAAGACAAGAGTGACCAGTACAGGCTGTCACACATGAAGGGAAAGCTAAGCATACATGATGTCAGTGCAGGTGAGATTTGTGTATGAACATTCTGTTGTCATGTGTGAAGACTGCCTTAGGTGTGACAGTTGAAGCAAAGATTATTTCTGTGGTAGACTTTTGTTTGTAGTGTTATTGTGCTTCACATAAGAATTTATTTCTAGTGTTATTTTTTAGGTTTTGTAAGCAAGTGAACAGTTGATGTGAAAATGTTGATGTACTAAACACTCATTACATATTAAAATTTTAATATTTTATGGATAAAAAAAGAATTTGTAGAATAATTCTTAAAACTTTTTATTGAACTGATACTTTTAGTCACCCTAAGAACCAAATAAGTTCTGAGATTCAACTAATGTTTTTCATTGGTGATTTTTGACTTTTTCTGCTTCCTGGCTTTTGGATATGGACAGTTCCTCAAGTTTCTTGGTGATTTTGACTCTAATTATAGTTTTTGCTTTTCCTTCAGGATGTTTTAAATAATTTGGGATCTTGTGAACTGGATGAAGATGATTTAATGCTTGATTTAGAATTTTTAGAAGAACAGAACCTTCATCCCTCAGGTAAGTATTGAACTAATTCATTCTGTCTTACAACTCTGATTCTAGCCAGTGAGTGGTCCATGATAAACTAGGCAATGTTCAGTCTTAGAAATCAGTTCTTGCTTTTGTCTCTTTCCCACTATTGGAACAAAATACCTAACGCTTACTACTTAAGGAAAAAAGGTTTGTTTTGGCTCATGATTTCAGTCCATAGTTGGCTGGCTTCTAGGCAGAAACAGCATGGCAGAGGGACATGGTAGAGGAAAAGGTTTTATGTATCACTTCAAGAATAAAGTTAAATAAAATTAAAAAATAAAAGAATCATTTCTGCACTAAAGAAATTTTAGGATTGAGTTATTATAGGATTATAGATTATTTTGTTAGATGTTGTATTGATGTTTTGTTTTATTTAGTTAAGGAAAATTCTTTGCAGAGATATACATAATTGAAATAATATGGTATCTGGGATTGGCTTTACCAAAAAGTGTAGAGGAAGGAAAGGATGAAATGAAGTTGACAGATTATTGGAAATTATCAAAACTAGATAATAGATTCATCGAATGAAGACTTCTTCGAATTTCAAGAACCATGGAATTATAGCTGAATGAGCATACTTCCTATTTTCATGTATTTTTGAAGAGTTTCATAGTATTTGAAGTAATTTTAAAAGAGTACAGATAATATAGCAGTCTGTTTTGTTTGGTAGAAAACCATGAGGAAGAACAAAGGATAATTTTAAAAATAAATACTTAGCTCCATATATGTGCATGGGGACAAAAATTAACCTATTTAATTTCTTAAAAGTAATAATGCTTTATATTTTATTCATTTTCTTAAAAAAGATTATTATAAAATGTGTTTTCTAATTTAAACATTATTTAAATTCTGCCTCATATTTTTATTGATTTTTTTGGTTTTAAATATTTAACAATTAATTAAGGGGCTTTGGTGATGATAGATGATATATTTGTGTCAAGACCAATGCATTTAAATACATGAATGTATTTTCTGGATATTTTCTGAATGTTTTTTTCTAGGGCAGTATCTCTTGGTATATGTCCAGAAGCAAATGGGGAAGTAATGGTCCGATGCTATCAATTAGGAGTTAATTAGGTAGCTGCTAAATTATCTTGAGTTTGATGAACAATCATTATAAAAATTCTTCAGTGAGTGAGGAACTCCTCTTGTGCCTATTAATTAAGGTGGTAATTTTTTTTATTAATTTTTAATGGATAGTGGCATAGTGGCATAGCAGAGCTGAGATGAAACCCTAGTGGATTTGCTAAGATAAGTGGTAATGCATAAAGATTAGCAACAATATTCACAAGGGAAAATTAATAAAAAACTCCCATCCCATTGTGAGTTTCCACAAGCTCTGTCTACTCTGTCTATGCTAGAAGAATGTGTAAGGTATTCTCAATCTGCAAAGTTCAGAAATATATGACACTTAATTTTGGAAGTAGACCATAGAGGTTAAAAATGTGGATCCTGGACTTAGACAAATACCAGCCACCAACCAAGTCGTGTAACCTTGACCAAATTATTTAGTCTCTCTCAGGTTCCTTTCTTCATCCGAAAATGGGAGTAATGACTATGTATCTCATAAGTTTGATGTAAGAAATAGTAAGTCAAAGCACAGAGGAATACTCAGTTGAATGCTTGGTATATGTAATATATGTTGAAAATCTATAGCTAATGCTGTTTAAAAAGTATACATGATAAAATATGGTGTAACTGACGTACAATAATAAAATGATCCTGACAATTTTAGTATTCTTTTCAATCTCAGTTAAAAACTTCAACCATTTTAAAGTATACAGTTTCTCAAAATTTAAGAATAAAATGCCATAACATATGCATTTAATTTTGATTATTTATTTCCAAACAATATTCTAACATTAAAAATAAAACAACAGAACAATAAATAATATTTATTTGGTTTAGGTGACGCTCACAGGGTTAAATTACATCCTTTTCACATTTGAGAACACTGAGATTTTGAGTGATAAAGTGTTATAGGTGTAGAAATCCCAAGGAGATGCAAGTAAAGTTTTTCTCATCCTGAGGCTCTGTGTTTAATCATTACAATTACCTGCACTAATAAAATTAATTTGTGTAAACATTTTAGAACTTCATGTACATTGAAACTTTTTTTCAGACTGACTCTTCTATTACCTTTTTCTGTTGTAGGCGTCACTTAATGTGTTTGCCTTTTACTTCAACCAAGAAATTGCAATTAAATTATATTCATTTATTGAAGCATCTGTATTGTGCCAAGATCTAATTTAGACATGTAATTCTTTCGATTTTTGCTTCATTTTTATATATAATTTATGCCAGGCATGATGGCGTACCCTTTTAATCCCAGCACTCAGGAGGCCGAGGCAGGAGGATTGCTGTTAATTTGAGGCAACATGGGCTACATAGTGAATTCAAGGCCAGCTTCAACTACATAGCAAGTCCCTGTCTCAAAAAACCAAAACCAAACAAACAAACAAGCAAAAATATATAATTTATAACATTCTTGATTTATTTCATTCAATACTCAGCCGTGATTCAGGAAATATTGCTGTGATCTCATGATAGATGGAGGAATGGAGACACAGAAGAACGTTATTACTACTTTAGGCTTAAGGAGAAAGTAAATGGCAGAGAGAGTTTAAATTATACCTCTGTGACTTTGATACTTATTATTTCTACTATAAAAATTATCAATCACATTTAGTTAACAGAAGTAGTTGTAATATATTTGTAAAATGTTCTCTTGCAATACATTCACCGTTGAGATAGCACTATAGTAAGGACGTAACTGTGACCCAAGTTGTCACTTTGTGGGTTTCATCTTGTAGTTCTGTTATTTTCATCTCTGCTGTTAGGGAACCTGTTTTCTGCTTAGTTGCCATTAGATGGCAAGCTTGTTCTGATAAAGACTATAGTAACCCTATCGTACATTTGTATTTACTTTTATGGTTTAAAAGGTATTTCAAATATGTTATCTCAACAAATTATCACAATTCTCTGAAATAGGTGTTAATATATCCTAACTACAGTGGAGGAAGCAAATATTCTTTGGTTAAAAAACTTATTTGGCCAATATTTACCTAGATCTTAATATTAGCTGACAGGTTCTTTTCACTCTTTCCAGACCTTGCTGCATTTAATTTTACACACAGTTCTAATATATTGGTTTTTATATTTTCCAAGGCCGCTGAAATCACAGTCACATCTTAGAAGAGGAGAATCTGCTTCAAGTAGGGATGTTGGCTGTAGTGAAAAGGAAGAACTGTTAGCCAAAAAAGGCAAGGGAACAGGCAAAGAGCTTTGAAAAGTTGGCAGAGGCATAAAGCAGAGCAGGATGAGGCCAGTTAATGCAGAAACAAACTTCTCTATCCATGTCAGCAGGGGATGGGGGTTTACTGGATTACAATGTATTACTCTACTGCTCTTTAAAAATTATTTTGATGGTGCTGAGTCATCAAGTTCCGAAAACTGCTAAGATGGAAATCTGTAAAATTCACTTTGGAAATATTTCTAAATTTTTATTTACTCTTTAATGTATTAAATTGGGAAAAAAGTGTAAGTTCTTAATAAACTTTACTAGAAAGTATCATTTCATAAAGACTTTATATCACAACATTTGAAATTACTTTAAAGCAGTTTGTATATACTTTATTTTATCTTATTTCCTTTCCACCAGTTTCTGAAAAAGACTAGCTAGTCATAAGGATAGCTGTGAAAAACAGTTTACTGTCAACTTTGAAAAAGCAGTAATTTATTTGTGTTCTATTGGTAGAAAGTATACGGATCATATTACCTAAACACAAAACTATACAATTGTCTGTAATAAATATATATTTTCAGGACAGATACTTCAAAATTATAATGATTCTTGCCAATTTGCTACTTTTACTTGACCAATTCACCAAATGAGCAATTGATACTTTGCTCATTTGTTAATTTGATACTTTGTTTTCAATTCCAGTTCTAAAAATATTAAGCTCATTGTTTAAAATAAATGTCATTCACATGGGTGCTTTACTTTCAGTTTTCAGTTCACTCTGTGTTAAATGCTGTAAGTATATGACTGAGTTATGTTCTACCAGGAAGTGATTTTGAGAAATCAAGCCCCCTCCTGCTTCTGCTCTTCATGAATATTGTTTTAAATGTCTTGTTCAAGGTGACACAGTTTGTAGTGGAAAGGTACATTTTATATAAGAAATTCATTACTTCCATTTAATAAGCACAATGTCAATTAATTACTTTATTTTTTATTTTAGAGTCCAACAAAGTAAATGATTTGTATTTGTTAATTTAAAAATGCCTCTGGCTATTTCTTCTTTGAGGCTTCCAGGGAATTGCTTTAGGACAAAGAAAGCTTTTAGATAAAACAGTTTTCAAAATATAATCAACTGTAACTGAAAAATGTTTATACACTCTGACCTAATGTAGTGTTAAATGACAGAAAATTTTAATGAAGTCATAGCATTTATTTGCAACCCGCTATTGTAGCAATTCCTGCCATCATAAACTCTTAGCCACACAAAAGGGCAGTGAATGGTCCAAGTTCATTAGAGGACACAGTCACAAGAAAAGATTTCTTTCATTCAGTATGGCTTTTCTGGGGCAATTAGAAAGAAAATATGTGTCTCAATATAAAATTTCTTAGCCTCTTACAATTATGTGGTGACATCTCCATACAACTGCTTGAATAATGCCAGAAAAATCAGCTGTCACTATCAAAATGAACAAGTAATTAAGAAAGTGAATGCTGGTATTTCTTTAGAAGGAATAGAATATTTATGTACCTAAAATTGTTCACCATCAAGAAAAATAACCACTAACATGAAACATAATTTTCTCCAGTGTCTAAAGCAGAAAAAAGAGAAACAATAATGAACACTCAAAATTACAACAAATAAAGTTGTAATTGTACATACCAAAAACAATTACAAAATTTCTATTCCTTGGACTATAAAAGTTTTAATAGTATGATTGTATTAGGTGTTATGAAAGCACCTTGC